GATTTAGATCAAATTTATTTTGTGCAGCCACTTAATAATAAAATGTAGTGAATTCTACATTGTGTTCCCAGAGCCAGTATTAGAACAGAGTAAGAAACGTGTGACCCTGACACGTTAAAGCTCAGATCGTTTTACTGAATGCTTCAGATTGTCTCCTGGAGGACGAAGACTTGTCTCAACTCTCCGGGGGGACACGATTGATCGAGTCCACAAGAGAATGTGGAGAATCGGACCATGAGCGGTTGAGTTGTGATCGCGTGGTGACGGTAGTTTGTGTGTTTTATCCAGTGGTTGATGAGGTTGTGTAGTAAAATGATGCTCAGTACCACAGGGTACAAGTTACAGTTGTGTGTTTCGCTGCTGTGTCGTGTCGTCGTGACCCTGAGGTCACGTCCTGTTGTCATTGAGACGACGCAGCTGCGGCTGAGATCTCACAGGGTCCCACTGTCTGAAGGTGTTGAATTAGAAAAGAATATCTTTTTAGGTTGTAGAGTTATAGAGCGACTTCTAGAACGGCTCTGGTTCAGGAAGTCAATCGTTTAATCGTTCTCTCCGTTGAGTAGTTTCATTAAATCCTGAAAACCAGGTCGAGCAGCTCCGAGATGAATCGTGACCATAAGATATTTGCTTCAGAGCCACTAGTTCTCAGAAGTAAAGGTGTACATAATTATTTTAAAGAGTGAAGGAACTACATATCCCATAAGCCATTGCAAATGATTCCAACGACTTCCAGCTTCTCAATTTTTCAGCTTTTTCCTCGTCTCTAAAAACTGAGAGAGAGATCTCAGTTGTCGTGTAACTCTGAACGATCTGATCGCAGACTGAACACCAACATGTATGTGGGTCAGTTCTGCAGATGTCAGTCAGTCCGTCAGTCAGTCAGTCAGTCAGTCAGTCCGCCACCTTCGTCCAAACTATCACAAGTTTCGTACAGATGTTGATGGAGCACAGAACATTCCAGTTAGTCAGTTAGTTCTGTTTGTTCAGTGTTTTCATGCTGAAGGACAGAACCTGTTAAACTTCATCACGAGCATAATTTCATGTTTTTAGCTTTAATCTCAAAGAACCGAGCTGTTAACTTTCTCATAACTTTGAAACCTCCCCTGAAAATAATCATTGAACGTTTCAATATCCTGCAAACACAAAATAACTCTAAAAAAATAAATCCAGAACATGCAGACAGCAGTTCTTGTCACCGAAATAAATTCAAATCATCGATGTTGCGTTGACCAATCCGTCCCGGCCTTCAGCCTCGAGCTGAAGAGTCCAAAATCCATATCTCTGAACGACAGGAAACAGTTTGTGTACCCAGGCAACTGGAAGCTTCCCGCTTCCGTCTTTCTTTGCGGAGTTTGCATGTCTGGGTTTTTCTGCGGTCGCTCTTGTCTGTCCTCCCGCAGTCCCACATGCAGACCGGGGGCCGGCTGATCGGCTCCAGGTTGTTCGGCTCCAGGTTGTTCAGCTCCAGCTCCGCCCTGCGACCTCAAGTGAACACCTGTATGCTAAGATAACGGATGGAGAGATGTGGATCTCGACTCTGTCCGAGATTTGTTCTCGACCGTGTTATCGAGCGTCGTTCCGGTCGGACGGAAACGAGGGCCTTCGGGAGGGAGAGAACACTTCTAAAGGAATGAAAATCAGCCATAAGTATTTTTTATTACTTCTGTTACAGTTTTATCTCGACGTCAAACCAATGTGAGCTGTGTAGTTGCTGTTTCATAACCAAATCAAGTGTTGGTCACTGAGGGTTGAAGATCTGAACTCAGTGGTCACTCTGCCTTGTTATAGTGACCTTAGTTAGTTAACTTGCTGCTTTTGCCTTTTACAAAGCCTTCGGACGTGTGTGTGTGTGTGTGTGTGCGTGTGTGTGTGTAGCTGACCGTCACAGTTGTGATCCATCGCTCACAGCTGCATAAAAACAAAAAGAGTGTGTCGTGTGTTTGAGGAGCTTCCCGGTGATTACAGACAGACGACTGACAGATTGTAGCACCGCAGCAGTTCACTGATACAGACTGAAGACAGTGTCGTCGTTACCTCTCGTGTTTTTAAATTATTTATTAAACTCCACTCTTCCCCTTGCTTTGCATTCTGGGAGCTGTCCTTTTTCGAAGCTGGAGGGTTTAGTGCCTTGCTCAAGGGTTGAGGATAGTGATTGTGGTGAGAAGCCTGTCCACTCGTGTTGATGAGCCTCCCGGTCAGAGCGGCATCGAGGCGATTGTTTGAGTTCACTTTCTTTTCACCGTGTTGATGTGACGACAGATTCTGACGCTCAGGGTGGAAATCGAACCTGTGACCACCGGTAACCAGTCTGTGCACACCTCAGAGCCAGTCCAACAGACGCCTGTGACCAACACCGACTATAGACTCACGTGACGTGTCAACACAGCAACATTTAAGAACCTGGGAACAACTGGGAGAAAGTTTCAAAATGCAGAAAATCACTAAAGGAAACATGGAATGTTTTTTTTTTTTTAAAGAGTATTGTTTGTTGGAATTTTTGCATTTGCTTCATTTTATTGTGCTCAAATACCCAAAGTCCATCTCATCCAAGAGGAGTGTCAGTCTTCAAACACTGAGGAAACCTGAATGAGTGGCGGGTTCAATGAAAACAGACAGAGCGGGACAATCTGACGGTGCGTCGGGCCGAGCTGTGACCTGGAGACAGACTCTCCGCCCGGTTTTCTTCTTTGGTTGTTGCCGCCATGTTTGTCTGAACCAATACCTGTCTGTCTGTCAGCATTAATAAAATAAACATGTCGAACGAGAGGAAACTTGATGTGAGTCTCCATTTGTTGGAAATAAAACCTCCTTGGTGATTAGAATCAAAAACAAACCACACAACACGGTGATCTTTTCTTTCACAGATCATATTTATTCAGGTTAAGTGCTAAAAATAAATACAAAACATTTTTTTTGGAACACATCTGGTAAAGTGACAAAGACCTGCTTCTGTCAGGTTTCGCTGCTCAGGACAAAGCTCTCGATTTACTTCTGCGGCCTCAGCTGCAGTTTGAGATTTTCTTCAAGTGTTTAAACCGATTTCAACTTGAGAGTAAATCTGTGGCTAAAGATCCAGATCTGTGACGGGTCCAGAGCCTGGAGGCAAACTGTTCATCTGTGGCATGATCAAATAAATAAAGAGGTGGCGTTGATAGCGATGGCACACATTGTTATATAGATGACTCATAGATGTGTATATATATATTTCACAGGTGCTCTGTCGTAAAAAAAAACAGTTGTCGCATTAAATTCATTAGAAGGAGAAAATGGTTCCCAAATTAATTCCAGTTCGTCTTTAGCAACTAGCAGATTTGACACCAGATTAGCATTTAATCGCTATGGTAACCACACAGACATACAGCTAACGAGCCTAAACTACTTGTGTTAGTAGCACAATCACACACGACATAAATGAACACAAATAAATGAGGTTTGGATTTAAACGTTCACTCTTGATACTCTACACAAGTTAATTAGCTGATATTAATTAGTAACGTTAGGCGCGATGAAGGCCTGTGTGTCGTCCGTCCTGTAGAAGGCACTGGCACTCATGCAGTACAATCTCCTTCACTAGTAGCATCAGTATGAGACATTCAATGCCAACAGATATCATGTTCTAGTAATAATGGGAACATGTCTGGTGGGGGGGGTGGGGGGGGGGGCACTAAACAGAGGTAGACCTACTCAGAAAGACGAGAGTAAAAAAACTGAAATGTGTTTGGCAGCAGTCGTCGCAGGAGACAGGCAGGAGTCCAGTGGTAAGAAACAAGTCTACAAGTCTCCAGCTGTGTCTGAATTCAGGGGCTGCGTCCTCCAGAGGCTGCGTTCGAAGACCAACTGCATCACAGCAGCGCCACCGGACTCTCCCAGGCTCCTTCAAACGTCGCAGACAGTTGCGTCCTTTCGACCCCGATGACGGGTGAGTCCTTCGCAGCCCCGTGAGTTGAGACACAGCCTGTTTTATGTGTATTCAGTCGTCCTCTATGTCAAGCTGCACGCAGAGGATAGGTCAGCAGTTTTTACACTACGATACAAGCAGGGCACTGGAAATTCATGTGTGTATGTGATTATCATTCATCCGTGTGTCTGCGGACGTCAGGAGGAAGAAGAAGGCGAGCGGAGCGTGTGTGTGTGTTGTTCAGTCATCCACTCCTATGTTGCGGAACAGGTAGGACATGGACTCTCCGTTGTGGATGCGGCGGATGGCCTCTGACAGGATCATGCTGATGTCGACCGTTTTGATTTTCGGACACTGGAGCTTCTGGAGCTCATGGGGAATCGTGTTCGTCACCACCACCTGAAAAAAAATGAAGAAAAAAAAAAAACCACGAGATGAGAGACGTGAGGACGACGAGAAGCCTCGACTCTGACGAGAGTCAAACTCGCCTCGTCGATGGCAGACTCCTCGATGAACCTGGGGGCATCGGAGGAGAGGATGCCGTGTGTCGCCATGACGTAGATCTTGTAGGCCCCTCTTTCCTTCAGCGTCTCCGCCGCCGCCACGAAACTGTCAACGTCGTCGATGATGTCATCCTGTATGAAAAAAAAACCACACGAACACTTAAAGTTGAGAATTACTCAAACTCGTATGTTTATCAAGTTGTTTTCACAGACTGAAGGCGCTCGAGCTCTCACCACGATGATGGCGATGCGTCCTCCGACATCTCCGACCACAGTGATGGGAGGTTTCTCTTTGGGGATCAACACTGGAGACAAAGACACAGACACGGTGTTTAAAACCAGGCGAGTGACAGGTAACGCCTCTTTGTCTCATTGGTGACTGGCAGTGATCACTCTGTGTTTACTTATACACAGAAGCTGTTAGAGTCCGTTGGGGTTTGTCTGTTAGTGTGTGTGTGTGTCTTACATGGTATCTCCATGCTGGGGTGAATGGCTCCAGTGGTCTTGACGGTGGGTGGAGAATGTCGCCCGTCCACCTGGTCTGATTCTGCGTCCTGAGCTTCACCGTGGATCACTGCGATACCCAAACGCAGTCGTTCTGCAAATGACTGAGCCCTGCTCAGAAAAATGGAAATATAAAGACTGTGTAAAGGACAAATACAGGAAATGTACAAATATCAGTGTCTCGTTCAAAAGTTTGTTTGGGCGATTAAACACGAGGCGCTCAGAGAAGCAACAGCGGTGAGAAGAAAACTGAAACGTTTGTTGTATCTAAATCAGCTGTTAACGCATGTTGCTGTATGATGGCAGCGATGGGCCTGAAGTTGTGGTGGAAGAGGGAACAACATAGGTTTACGGTTAACATGTCAAACAACAGTTGAAATGTAATGAGCTCAGCACCGATGAGGAGGATTTCACAAGATCAACGTGTGCAGACAAACTACCTTTTGGCAGAAGATGGGGATTTGGCCACAATCACAGCATTTCTGTAGTTGGGGATCTGGAGGTTCATGGAAAACACAATCGAAGGGTCAGATATGCGACCAGACGTCTCTCTTGTATGAGTGAAAGGTGGAGAGAACTGTACAGTGATCCGCCCACTTTAAAAGTCGAGTGGCGTGAACTCGGCTTAAACTTGAAGTTCGACTGAAAACAGAAGCTTCGGTTCTGTTTCTAACAACACGAGTTACAAGGGGAGAAAACAATCACATCATGGAAATGGTGTCGTGCAGGAATGCGTGTGTCTTCACCTCCTCCTGTATGTACTGCAGCAGGAAGGGCGAGGCTCTCAGATTGTCCACCGGGATGTTAAAGAAGCCCTGAATCTCTTTCTGATGGAGGTCCATGGTGATCAGGTGGGTGAGACCTACACAAACACACATTTTCACCTGCAGCCATGACGGACACACACTCCTGCTACTGTGTCATGCTTTACTCTCCTTCCTCTGTCACACTTACCAGCTTTACACATCATAGAGGCGATAAGCTTGGAGACGATGGAGCCCCTCTTCCTCATCTTGCACTGCTTGCTGTAGGGGAAGTAAGGCAGGACTCCTGTGATGCTTCTGGCACAGGAAGTCCTGCAGGCGTACACCATGATCAGCATCTCCATGATGGTGGTGTTCACGTCCCTGATCCAGCCGAGGGAGGGACGGAGAAGACAGTGTAAACAGAACATGCGATAGAGGACGATTCAAGAGGACGGCTGGGGAAACTTCAATCTTACTTGGACACTGTCTGAATCACAAAGACGTCTTTGCCTCGCACCGACTCTTGGATCTGTACCTGGGTTTCTACGGAAACAAAAAGGGGGGGGGTGAGAAAGAGACAACAGCAAAAAATGTGCACATGTAAACAAAAAGGATTCATCACAGTGATGAAGCTGTTTATTTAGTGAGACCGTGGAGCTTGTTGTTATCGTCCACGTCTTCCACTGAATGGCGTTTAGAAGCTGGATGCTGCTGAGAACTTGATCTCAGGGAGGCTTCATGTTTAAACAAGGGATAAGCTAATAAGCACCATATGCACACATGCATAAAGAACTTGATCCTGGTCGGACGTTTGTCTTACCTCTGTTAGCTTCCTGGTACACCTGCACCTTGCCAAGCTCAACCCCTAACCGCCTGAGAGAGAGGGAGAGAGAGAGAGAGAGGGAGAGGGAGAGAGAGAGAGAGAGAGAGAGAGAGAGAGAGGGGGGAAGAAAAGAGAGAAAGAACCTTAGCTTTGATTTTAAAACAGAGAAATAAATAGATCGATCTTTTAAAATCTAAATTAATGTACATTGTGTGGTAGTCACAGATTTATTTGTTGTTAAATCCCCCCTTCATTTATGGGAAGTTATATTAACAAGCTGTGTTTTTAATTCTTGCCATTTTTTGTCTGCAGGCAGAGCACGGGATCCAGTGTGTGATAAGCCAGGCTGAATATTTGTTCTATAAACATGCACAGACTCTAATGTCCTTGTGGAGTCTGTCCTCGTCCACTCAGCTGTGCAGTTTATAAATGTTGTGTTTACACGTAGCATGAGGAATGAAAGTAGCAGCTCATGATTCAAGTTATTTTTAGGAGGCTACCGATTTAAAGGTCTGGATGAAGTGATACTTTTATAGAAACTCTGCTCTTGTGCCACCGAAGTTAAGAAGAGGTCATCGCACGTCTCGGTGCATTTCTGTGATTCTTTCAGTTCCTTGTTTTTGTTTAACTTTAAGATTTGTGCATTTTTGAATTTCGTATTTCTCTTTGTCTTATTCGTCTTGTGAAGGGGACGCGTCCAGTCCAGAAACGTGGTCGTTGAGCTGGTGTCAGTGACGGGGAGCAGGTCACACAGCGCCATTGTTTTGAGTAGGTCGATGAAAAATAACCTGCGTTTCCCATGAACTCACTTGTGAGTCACCAGAGAGACGTGTCCTTCACTTACTCATTGTGCTTCGCTGAGTTCACACTGAAGCCTGAGGAGAATTTAACCCTTCAGCTACAAGGAGCACAACAAAGATTTAGCTTTTGAATCAATTCATACTCAAACTTTTTACTTTACTGACAGTGTTGGAATATTAGTTGACTAAGAAACTTCACCAGCAAATTTAGGTCACAAAAGTAAGTGTTCTAAAGATCCCTTAATGTTCCCTTGTATTAATAATAATAATAACTTAAAATAATAAAAATGTTATCTCCCCTTCACAAGCACAATATCTACTGTTTCACATTTGGCTTCATCATAACGGTTTTCTGTGAATATTCACCAGATAAGCTGGAAACACAGCACACCCAAATTTATCTTTTCAGGAAGTGTGAGAGAAAAGCTTTTTTTTTCCTTTTTAATTCTGAAGCAGCTACTTCTTATCAAAATCAAAAAAAACACGGCAGCGTGCTCGTTCCCATCGTTCTCACATGGCTGCGTTCCACCTGCGTTACTGTGCGAACGTGCTGTGTCAGCGCCGCATTCCTTTAAAATGTTAGCTACGCCTCCTGTACTCACTCTGCAATCCTCTTGCTCAGCTCGCGGCTGGAGGGGTGCGAGTTGGCGGTGAAGATGACGAGGCCGCCCTTGGTGTGGTTCATGTCTTTTGGGTCTCGATCGCTGATCTCCCCACACTCGGACAGTGGATCCCTGGGCACCCACGCTGCACTGAGGCCTTCCTGCATCGGGGAGGGAGGATTGGTTACTTCCTTTAAAATCTACGGGCAACTTTCAATTCTCAAGCTGCGGAGGAAACAGGAAACATCATGGTTAAATAAAAGAAATGTGCAATAAGCCACTGAACAGTTTGTTTTCATGAATGAAAATGACGGCTGAGCTCCTTTAAGCCTAAAAGTAAAACCACAGGTGCATCAGAGAATTTGGGAATCGCTCACATTAATTTCCTTCTGTGACACGTTTCATATCGAGCAGCAATTATTCGACAATTAATCCAACACATCAGGTAAATCAAAGTAAATCATTTAAAATGCAAAGCCACCTTTTAACATCACAACTGTTTTGAGCATTTTGCTAAATCATCTGACATTTTACAGACAAAACAAACTTGCAGACAGATTCATAAATGGTGAAAATAAAAGTTGCAGCTATTTATTCAAACCTCTCTCACTCTGCTCAGCGTCACTTTATTCAAATGAAATGCAGCAGCGATGACGTTCAGATGTTGTCACATGCATTAATGGGTGTTCGACTGAGCTGGATGATACCTCACCAGACTAAAACCAGAGGAACGTGTGCAGAGGTAAAAGTGTGATTGTGCAAAAAGTCACAACTTTATTATTATCACTTTAAAATACTAAACTTTTAAAGAAAAGTGAAACGGAACCAAACATAGTGTGCAGATGTAAACTGGGTTCTTAATGTCGCTTGTTAAACAATAACAACAACAAAACGACGCGTTGTGCAAAGTGTCTGCACCAGTGACAATAACATCACATGTCACGTGCAGCCATGTGCAGCCACGATGCACCAGCTCTCCTCCCTCGTTCCCCGGAGTCCCACCATCAAATATCCAGAGTGTTAATACTAACACGGAGTTAGTATTAACACTGAGTGCTCTCTGACTGGAGGTCGATCCATGGACAAACTCGTGGTTTTAAATAAACAAGTAACAGAGTCGTTAGCTTCCTCACGTTGCTAAGCTAACGACACAACAGCAGCTGCGTGCTACACTTCAGTGTGTGTGTGTGTGTGTGTGTGTGTGTTTGAACTGTGTGTGTGTGTTCAGATATTATGACATAATATTAAACTTGACATAAAAACACTTGAGCTGCTTTAAACTAGCTTGTAGCACCTGACTCGAGCTAACGGACACACAGATAATCCTCACGCGTGAGTTGATGCTTCAACACAACACGAGGCTTCTTCTTTTCTTTTCTTTTCTTTTCTTTTTTTAAAAACACACAACAACAACGTGAGTTCAACACAAACACGACAGACGGAGACACACACTCACCAGTTTGTGAGTCGGGTTCGGTTACAAGATGCAACCAACACAAGAAACTGAATCGAGCGGAACTGAACCCAGGTTCTGCTCCGGAGCCACCGACTTCCGTGTCGCGCTTTGACGGACGTGCGCCTCGGCCAATCGCAGGCCAGGAAATGCTAACGGGGGAGGCGCTGAGGAGCGTTCGCGTGTCCGTTTCGAGCTCGTAAATATCAGCTTTGAGGTTTTATTTGTTTTAATTTGACACAGCAGGAAAACAAAACAACAGCTTAGAAAGTTTGACCAAAGCGACAGAGCTCATGATTAACAACATATTTATATATATTTATAATTAATACCATCATCAAGTCGCTCCCTGTTTGAATATGTAGATTTAATCATTGTCAATCAATCAAGTTTTCCTCATCACTGTTTGTAAATAAAAAAAAATGTTTATTTGTTTTTCTTGTTTGTATAATTTCTCTTTTTTAATTTTACAAGTTCGAAATGAATAAAAACGAATGAAAACCTGTAAGTGTCACTGTTATTTATGTTATTTTTGTAAAATCTCCTTCTTCTTCTTCTCCTCTCCTTACCTGGCTACTTCCTCCTGTGGCTCCTCCTCCGGAAGCTATACAGGAAGTCACCTGTTCCCGCCTCTGTAAACGCAGGTACCAGCTGGACTCACGGTGTTGGAAACCTCCTTCAAGTTTGAATGTGAACAATGTGAGTTTACTCATTTGAAAATAAAATATTGAAATATTTCACTTACATATTTAGTGTTTAGTTTGTATTTGTTACCACAAACTAAACATACTTTCTTTAATATAATGTTTTATGTATTTCGTGGTATTTCTTTGACAGAATTCAGGTTTTTCAGCTTGAAATTAAACTGCAACAACAAATATTTACCCTGAGTCACGTTCGACGTCAAGAACGCGTCCCCGTGTTGTAACAGCAGCTGCATGCGTGAAAATGTGTCTTTGCATGTTCTCTGTGACCTCATTGTAACAAACAGTGGTCAACACCCGAGCGCTCGTGGGAGTTGTAATCTTTGTGACTCTCCACCTGGGGGCGGTGTTTTTTTAGTGCATGCTTCAGCCTCACTCAGCATCTTGACTTCAGTTGTTCTTGATCAGTGCAGTTGACGTTCAAGTTGTTTTGACAAGTTAAAGTGATAAAAGCTGTGTATTATTTTTTTTATTTAACCACATGTGAGAGGAGAGAACCAGTTTGCTTTTCCACAGACTGGAGCAACATTAGAGCTCCAGCCTGGAGTCGTTACGTTTCTCTATACGTCTGATTTCCCAGCAAGGAGACAGTTTGTCATTGCTGCTTTGCTTTCGCATCTGAAATTCAATCTTCTCTGCAAACTGGACATGACGCTGTGTTTTTAAAAACGCTGGTCACGATGTTATTGGTTGGTCTGACAGGTCTTATCGGTCCTGATAATCACACCCACCTCCCCTGACCTGAGAGGCTCTGGCTCTCCTTCTTCTCCTCCTGTTTCTTTCATCCAACATTCAACGTGGGCTCGTCTCTTATAGCGTTGAAGGTCCTGGTGTTTGCTTCACATCCATCAGTCCCTGTCTTGTTTGTTTGATTGAGTGTGTGATGAAAGGGTGTGTCCGCCATGTTGTTAAAGAATTCCATTACCCCCCATCACCAGTACAAAGCATTAAAACACACACTCACACACAGATGCAGATGGATTTGACTAAGTGCCTCATGAATCTACAGTTTCCTCCCTCTGGCATATATTGAATCCTGTCTCAAACCCGGCGTTCCTGTCTCACAGCAGAGACAGAGAGACAGGTGGAGGAAGGTGGGGACGACTGTGAAATAAAGCATTTATAGAAGTATGTGTGGTAATAATATCAAACTTTAGTGTTAACACAGCTCCAAGATAAGTGATCCTGCTCCTGCGTGGACAGAGACAGATTTATAAATACTCTCGGTACCATATGGGTTACTTTTTAGTGTCGTTACATAACTCGGTGGATGTGTGGAGGAGGCAGAGAGCAGCTTCCAAGCACTGATGCTGCCCACACACACACTCACACACTCACACACACACACAATGGAGAGGAGAGTGGAGTTAAAAATGTGGAGGAGGTTGGACAGAGACGATGTTGTCAAACTCAGTGATATGTGTTCGTCTCTAATTGTCTTTATGACCAAAGGAAACAGTTTCTTACTGCTCACTGAAAAGTTCGTTGGACATTTGGACGATTTTAGATCATTTGTTAGTGTCTATAAGTCTATAAGGATTTGGAAATTACCAGAATCATGACGTTTGTGATGAAGTCAATGTTATAACAACGTACGGTCGAGTCCAACAAGTGATTGAATAAATACAATAAGTAAATGTTGGATGTTTAATGTACCTGCTGACTGTAAAGTTATTCTCCCAAAAAGCTTTGGGGAGAGAGAGACAGAGGGAAGGGGGGGTAGAGAGAGAGACATAGAGAGATCTGGAGAGAGAAGGGGGGAGGGGGGAGATATCTGGAGAGAGAGAGAAAGAGAGAGAGGCGGGGGGGAGCACCACGCTCTCGTTCCGCCCCCGAGTTGCAGCACGAGCCATTTATCGGTAAGAGCCGTGCCAGCTGTAGAGCGCGCGGGCGCGTGTACGTGCACCCCCCCCCCCCCTACCCTCACGCGGAGAGGATCGTCACCAAACAGAAGCGGAGCGCACGCGGGGATGTGATGGCCGCTGCACATCTGGATCGTGTTTACGACGCTGCGCACGAGAGCGGAACAACCTCCGGAGAGACGCACATCGCGCGCACTCGATTTTTCTCTCACGCGCACAATCATGTGCGCGCATTGAGCTCGCGAGGCTCCGCTTGACGCTCGTGCTCTGGATCTGTCTCCGGTTCGGTCGGTGTGTGTGTCGGTGCGCAGCTGCGGGAGGAGACGAGCCTCCGGGAGGAACCGACACCATCACATCCCGCAAACAAAACATCACGCACGCCCCGCCGGCGCGCTCCCACTGGAGTCTGCAAGGGCCCAGTCATCCTCCGCTCCCATCCCCATCCAGCGGCGCCGCGCGCGCGGGGATACCCGAGAGCATCCCTCCCTCTCCCAGCCTCTCTCACCCCCATCATATGGTCGAGCCCCCCCAAAGGCTCGGATCCAGTGGGGGAGGAGGAGGGAGGCAGCTCGCGGTGGTTGGAGACGCACCCTCCGCGTGGTGCAGGCTGAGGCGCCGCTGCTGTGTCGGAGGATGCTGCGGGAGTAGAGCGGCTCAGAGAGGAAGATGGGGAAGGACCAGGAACTGCTGCAGGCGGTGAAGACCGAGGACCTGCTCACCGTGCAGAAGCTGCTGCAGAGGCCCCGGCCTGGGAAAGCAAGTAAGACCCTGTTCTACTGGAGACACCCCCCCCACACACACACACACCCCCACCCCCCTACTGGTGGTGTGAGGGGTCGCTATCTCCCACATACCACCACTGACTGATGCTACTGCAAGGCCCGTCATGTAAACTGTGTGTGTGTGCAGAGTGGGAGGATGCGGTGAGGTGTATCAGTGGAGATTAGCGGTGTGACTGGAGACTGACAGCCCGTCTTAAGACCCCTGTCTGAGTGTACTGCAGCAGAGAGAGGGAGAGAGGGAGGGAGGGATGGAGGGAGACATGCAGGGGTGAGAGAGTGTGTGTTGTGGTTCAGGTCGAGGGATGTGCGTGTGTGCGTGTGTGTGTGACCCTGTGTCTGGAGTGAGAGATGATGTCTGTGGCCTTGTGATGGTTAAAACACATGCACACACAGAGCGGGATGCATGGATGCTTGGGAGTGAGACCTCTACTCTATTCTTTTCTACTCCGCACTGTTCTACTCTGTTCTTTTCTATCCCGCTGTGTGTGACTGCTCCTCTGATTGTTTATTTTCTGCAGGCGATGTTGCCCTTCACCAGTGTTTCTCCTCCACAGCCCACTCTAATGTGTGGGCAGAGCTGCAGAGAGATGACTGTGTCGAGGCCGGTCGCCGCCTGATCCTGATTTATGCACTGATACGTATATTTAACTGGCTGATGTGGGTCTCAACACACGGGGGTGGATTCTGTAGAGGTCGGATTCGTTGCATGAATATGAATTTCTGCACACATGAGTTAAAACATTCGAGCTGAGACAAAGTGAGTCATTGAAAGTAATCTGCTCCAGCAGCTGGATTAACATCTGTCTGGGCTTCTTTCCCTGTTCGATTCCTAAAATGGTTCCATGAGATCGGACCTGTGTGACAACTGAATCCTTTATGTTGCCTTAAAAGATTCAGTTTCAGGTTCAATACTATAACAGCCTACGTCTGTGGCTCAGGAGGTAGAGCGGGCTGTCCTCTCACCAGATGTTTGGCGGTTTGATCCCAGTCCCCCCCCCCCCCTTGTTCTGCGTGCTGAAGTGTCATCGGGCAAGATACTGTGTTTTGTTAATCACTCACAGTGTTTGAGAGAGAAAGTGGTGCACATGGAAATATGTTGGAAAACAAAAGAACAATAAATAAATCATTTCAAATTCGTGGAAGGAAATGTTCTCCTGAGACAAACCGTCGATGTCATGATCAGACCATCAATCGTGCTTTCTTTAACACACTGACTGGAAGTGGTTATTGCATCTGACACAATGTGGGAATGGGGGAAATATTTTTTTTTGTATATTTCCACGTGTGCTGTTATTCAGGTGATTTGGACTTTTTTCATTTCCGTGCCACTGATGGCAAAGCTCCCGCTGCAGGACTCGACCTCAGAACAGTCTGTGGGAACCAGCGGGGCGCAGCGTGTGCCGGTGGGCGCTGATGCAGACTTATGCAGGGTACGACGGAGCGGAGCACATACAGGAAAGCCCTCAGATTAAACACAGTCTGGAGAATGTCTGCTGCAAAGTACACCCAGGCCTCCTTCACCAGAGGAGAGACAGCGCCCCGAAAACTAGTGTCTCTCACACGGTGCATACAAGGTCCAGTGTGCTAGTGCTGCTGATCACATCCAATATAAAGAACAGGTGACACAGCCAGTGGCTCCAGCACTTAGTCACGTCCGGTCCTCAGTGGATTGCTGTGGAAGTATTTCTTTACATAACATGGCAAACACTGGACTTTTATATTCTAGGTGCATTTATACTTCAAGGAAAGACTTTGAGGGCCTCTGAGGGCCCCCACGCTAAATGGACCCCCGGA